TCTGAATACAATTTGGTTTCATCCCTAACCAGTAATCACTCATGTAAATCGAGAAGTACAATTTTTGTTAGCTTGTTATAATAACATCTTTAGGTTACAACTCGCATGATTTGAGATTGTGCTTGAACCCTTTTTATATTCTTATGGTATGACTTTGCTTTCGTGAAGCCATTTTTAACACGACCTTAGAAGGAATGAACCGAATGTCTAGAAGGTTCTTAGCAACTTCTCTCATGAAGTCATTGTCAATGCCAATATACTTGGTGCAAGCATGAAATACAAGATTTGCTACGTGGCGCCAATGTTGCCACACCAAATTGTGAGTCACACAATAACACACTAAGTGCCTTTTTGATTCAAGGATTTTTTTTAGGGATTTGAATTCTTAGGAGTTTTTCTACATTGGTCGCTTGATCCATAGGATTGCATCATATAAGAATATTTTCCGGCATCATAATTTTCTATTGATTCCTTTCATCCTTGAGCGGTGTTTCTTTGCGTGTGCACATGCAAAGTAGACTTGAATGGCTGGCTGTTTCAGATGCACTATCACTGATCTGGTTGTCTGTTAACCCCTTAACTGAATTTTTGTTCGTATCCCAAGTTGAGAATAAATGTGTGTTTTTTTGGATAATAGAAGCTTAAAATATATTTAGTCTTTGCCGGAAGTTAATCTCCTCATTGTGTAAAAGTGTTATTATGTTACTGTGTTCATCATGGTTGAATTATGCATGTGTCATTCTAATGTAAATGCACATGATGGAGCAAGTGCGAACATGCTGTAGCCGTCGTTGCTTTTGACAGGATTCAGCAAATTTGTATGTCATAAAGAAAAAGAAGGCATTGCTTACCTGAAACCTGTGTGTGCTCCTATGTTGGTGATAAACCACTTGCTCTGTTTTCTCCCCTGACCGAATGGTTCGTGTGTGCGTGTGCATGTGTGTCCACCGGCATTTATCAGGACAATGACAACAGTGATACACCCCACATGCTTGAAAATGAAGATCACACACACTTTGGACTTCTCTTCCGCCCCGTCTTTTTCTCCCCTCTTGTATCCCAATACTATAGTGTTTCATCGGCACATCGGAGCTGAAACGCAAGTAGTCCATGCACTCAAGGTGTGTTTGGTTGTCTGCATGAGGCCCAACCAGACCCGTGCGGGAAGGAAACGGGCTGTTTGGTTGGTTGTATACATTGTTGGGCCTGCATAAAAATGAAACTTAAAGTACCTCTGGGCCTGGCTCGCTGGAAATGCTCAGATCGGCAGTTTCTTGCGAGACAGGCCGAGGGGAGCACAAGCGAGCGGGCCCTTGCACGAGTGGAGACGGGAGGGATGCGAGGTGATTACCTGAGGTCTTCTCCAGTAAGCTTCTCTCTAATCTCCTCTCTTCCTTGTCCCTCTGATCTACACAACGATGCTTCGATTCGAGGTAAGCTCTACACGAAAAGGATGCACTCGATGCTACGGTTCCATTCAGGCGATCTATTTGTAGTTTCGTCAGTCGGAAGTTTTTTATTTCGTGTTCCCGTTTGGAGCTATTCTGGACGAATTTTGTCAGATTCGTCACGCACGATCGATCGTTTGAAATTTCCTTTGACCAGCAGCCTAATCTCATAGTTCCGCACAACATTCGTGTTGTAAGTTTTTGGTTTGAACGATCGTAGCTTCATCTCTTCTTGAACAGCAGTCTAGTGCACTCACGCCGCCATGTCGAGCTCCTCTATCCTATGCTCAGAGCCCTCCTATTCGTCCCTCTCGACGCCGACGCCCTCCCCCTTGATCGCTTTCTGTGCGTCCTACTACGCTAGACTCGTTTCCGGTGCCGCTCATCTCGGCCTACTATCTGTCGTCCTTCTACTGCACTGACGCTGAATGGCGCGCACACTGCTTTCTTGTGTCCTCTGCCTCCGTGCACACTGTAGTTCGCCGCGCCACTGACATGGTTGATCATCTTGGCCTCCTCTCGGCCTCCTCTCTCTCGTCCCACTACACTGGAATCTTTTCCGGCGTCGATCATCCCGGCCTCCTCTCTCGTCCTACTGCACGGACGATACCATGGAGCAAGCACTGCATTCTCCTCCTTTGTCCACTGTCTTTGCGCGAGCACCTCAACTAGTTCGCCGACGGTGTCGCTTGCCTTGCCGCCGACGGGGTCGCTCGCCCACGACTCCATGCTCATCATGTCGGACACGGCGCCACGGTCACTATCCACCGCAATCGCCATGGTCCAGTGCACACTGCATTTTTTCTCCCCCTTCCTCTGCTAGCTCTTAACTCTATGTGTTAAGTGCAAGTGTTAACTCTTAATCATACCCTATGCTGGCAACCAAACAGCGTGTAATTGTATGCGCCGAGACAATGCAGGCAACCAAACAACGTGTCAAAGTTGATCCCCTAATGCAGGAAGTCCATATGCAGACAACCAAACAACTTGCAGATATCGCATATGAGGCTGTTTTTGAGAGCCAGACTGAGTGGAGAAGGGTATGCAACGCAAGTACTGTAGCCGACGACAACCAAACACGCCTAGCATGCTTGCCGTGTACATTGAGCCGACCGCCGACCGTCATTCGGGTGCTACCACACGTCCTTTTGATTTGATTTTAGATCAGGGAGAGGAGTATGAGAGATCGATCGTTCCATCTTAGCATGGGCTGCACCGCAGTGTACGGCTCGTGTCCAGTAATTGGTCTCAGTTTGCGTATCAGGTTAGGTGTGCCGTGTTTAGTTAGTCTGAATAATTCAGTCCATGTTCGCCTCTGTTTTCTCATTAACAAGGGAGGATTTGCAAAAACGGGGCACTTAGGGTTAGAAAATATCTAAATAGCCGTGAAAACCTGAATTCACTCACGGGGATATACTACATTCACTAGTAGAACGCCCGTGCGTTGCCACGGGCTTTTAATTTGTCTTTTTCGATTGCACCATTGAATACAAAGCATATCAAATTTTGCGTTCATAGATTTTTCTGATTGCGCATATAATGTATATCATATTTCACATATATACAAAAGATGGTGTATGTGCAACAATTGAAAAATAATTGAAATTCAATTCACCCATAATGTAACTCGATGATGTATACATTGACAGCAATAATATAAATAAGCATATGTTACAAACTAAGATCTAATTGATGCGTTTAAGATATTCCCATTAAATATCAGAAATATTGTCTTTAGCTTCATTTGCACGATATTTCAGCAAGTATAATAAAAATTTATTTCTCAACTCATAAGCATCCTGCACAAACAATATATATATATATATATATATATATATATATATATATATATATATATATATATATAATTAACATGAAAATGTAATCGAGTAAACATATACCTACAGATTTCTCATGCACTTCTGTAGTCTACTTTTTTATATAAATAAATCACTCAACGTCTTATTCTTTCACCACCAACTATCTCCGTAACCCCAGTCCATGTTCACCACCCCACCTCAACTAGTGACATATCTG